CTGATCCAGGAGTCTTTTCCATTCTTTACCGCACCTCCCTGCTAGATCTAATAAAGGTTACAGTTTTGACAGCTAGGTACAGTAGAAATGTTTTTCCTTGTATTTGTGAGTTTTATAAAGTTGTATGTAGATTGGCACATACATTGGGTCTCTGGCACATGGGCTGTTTAAGAAAAACTGTTTAGAATTTTGAAAGTAACTTGTATTTTCTCTTTCCTAGCAGTGATACATTGACTAAAGTGACTTCTGGGTGGGGAGGCATAGAAGTAGGTTTCAGTTCAGCTATAGCTTCAATGAAATAATGAAAAAATTGTGAGGGAGACATAGAAATGTTGAATCAGTGATTGAGTAGTGACTTCCCAAATATTCTAAAAATTATTTAATTAGCATTCTTGGTTTCTGACTATATTTTTAAACACCCACTCCTTCCTTTATGCTCACAGATACCAATCCTACATTTTGCAAAAAGGCTCTCTTAATAATGGCTCTCAGCTGGGTGTGGTGGTACATACCTATAATCCCCAGCACTCAGGAGGCTGAGGCAGGAGGATTGCCACGAGTTCCAGGCCAGCCTGGGCTACATAGTGAGTTCAAGGCTACCCTGAATTACAGAGCAAGGCCCTGTCTAAAACAAAACAAAACAAAACAAAAAAGACTCTCAACTCATACACTCAGTAATTAAGCAGTGTCTACACACTGTGTACCACACTGTGTACTATTCTAACCTTAGCAGTGCTGAAACAATAGAGCCCCTGCTTACATATATGCTTATGTTTTTAGTAAGGAAAATAAATAATAAATGAAGAAACAAGCACACACACCTTAGAAAGTACCACGTTATGACAAGTGCTAAACGCAGAATTAAAATAGGGTAATGAATAAGATGATTGAATGTGGCTATTTCTGAAGAAGTGATCAGTTAATATTTCTGAAGATGAGCTGTGGCAGGGACAGGGGCACAGTTCTAGCAGAAATAAACAGCACAGCAGCCTAAAAAAGGAAAGGTTGGACTGGGGAGTCTAGCTCAGTGGTAGAGTGGTTTCAGAGGAAAAGTGAGTATAAGCAAAAAGTTGAGCCAACTACAAACTACCAGATCTTTTCTCATGAAGCCTGTTATTAATAAAATGTATGTAATGAATAAAAATTGCTGCGTTCTTATTTTGAGCACATTCTTGAATGGAATGTATGATGAATGTAATATGAGAGAATCATTCAAGAAATACTTAGAACTTAGAGATCTTGTACATTAATTTTTTTCCCACCACAAAAATTATAGATGAGACACCGCCTACCTTGTAAGTGCAGGGACCCGAGTTTGATCCCCAGTACCCCCCAAAAAAATTGTAGATGAGAGGTATGATTTGTATAGTAGACCATTAGGCTTGTTGTTTAAGGAACTGAAATAGCCAAGAAAGTAAGAAAAATGAAAAAGAAAAAAGCTGTTCTGTCATAGATACTATGTCACAGTTTCTACCTACTGTATTTCATTAATGTTTCACAGTATGTTCCAAAGTAGGTGGTACTTAGCACATTTTACAATAATGTAGTTAAAGCTTAGGGAAGTCAAACATCTTAAGCCCACACCCATCTCCAAAATTGCTACACCTCCCAGGTAGACCTTTTGCCTCAAAAATTGCATTTCAAACCATATTTTTCCAAGACCTTCAACCTCCTTTCAAGCTTTGGTGAGAAGCTATGAGCTGAAAACAAATTTCAGCTCAGCCCCATTACCATTCTCCCTCTCAGTTAAGCAACTCTCCTAACTTTTCAGAGCTGCTTTCAGTGATGGGTTTTAGTAAGCAAGAAGGCTATTAATGATGCATGTGCTTCCTGTAGAGACCAGTTGCAGGAGAAAAAAAACAAACACTTGATTGTTTTCAATGCCAAACAAGATGTTGCTGGAAGACACAAAGTACCTAATAGACTTAAAAATTACTTCCAATTTTTTTAAAATTATGAATGTATTCCTTTCTAAAAAATCCAAAAATTTGAGAATTCATGACACCTGCCCATTGTTTTATGTCATTATTTGTATCTCACACAATGGCTTGAGCTATAAATAAAGAAAAGCCAATGAGAGTACATAGTCTTCAGCACTGTTCTTTCTGTTTTTGACCAAATGCCCCTTGATCCTTGTCATTCTACACTTTTTAAGCTAGCTGGAAATAACAAAGTCCCCAATCATAAATCAGCTGTAATGGAAGCTCTTCTTCTTCCTTTTATTGCAAGGATATTTACTCAACCTTTGAGTCTAAAGTGTTTACCTGGCTTTTTCACAGCTGACTCAGTGGATTGGAACCTTTTAATGCAACCTGCATGGCATGTGGTCACCAAATCTATCTATGTGAAGTCATTAAAATTTTTGTATGATTGATTATACATTGCTCTTCACTGATGAGGGGAACCATATCTATTTCCTGCTTGCTTTTGTATCTGTTAAGTTATTTAATCTGCTTACTTTCATAACTGGGACTTCAAATGTAGAAATGTAAAGGAAAAGGAGAAGTAACCACATTCAACAAAACGGTGCTTGACTCGTTCTACCTCCAGAGTTATAAAACCAAAACTTCCTTTTCTACAAAGCAGCCCAGTTAGTGGGAAGAAGTAACAAGTAAATCAACAAATTAATCAACTTCTATACGTTAGGGAGAAACAAAAAAAAGGCTTTTTGTTAAAAGCCTTATTGTCTTCCAGGTTTCCAAAACTATTGTCCATGCCTGTATTTTAGACCTTCACTCAGCCCCTCATCCCTCATGATCCTGTATCAGCTACCACTGTCTTTTCTGTGTTTTAGAACTTGCCTCACAACCTCCTTTCTATTTCCCATGATATCTGTCTAAATGATATGAGAGTTAGAACTATGTCATACTGTTGCTAGGTATTATTACCAAACATAACTCAAGACCTTCTCTAGGCAGTTGTCTCAGCAGCTACCCATTCTTTAATTAATTTAGCTATTATTCCACCTCTGTGTTGGACATACATGGACCTGACAATCTCAGACTTGAACAAGATGAGTAAGAAACTATTCCTTTACAAAGTTTATATTCTGCTTCCCATCCCTGATTTCTGGGTCTACTTCTCTTCTAAGTCTACTGTGTTTACCATTCTTTATTGTTTTAATAATCAAGAATTCCTAGGCCAGGCATGGTGGCACGTGCCTGTAATCCTGGCACTTGGGAGACTGAGGCAGGAGGATTGCTATGAGTTCAAGACCAGCCTGGACTACATAGTGAGTTCCAGGTCAGTCTCAACTACATAGTGAGACCCTGTCTCAAAAAGGTGGGGGGCTGTGTCAAAATATTATTGTTAGCCAAAAATAATTATGGACAGCGTGCTGCCGTATTCATATTCATAGAGTTTGGATAAACTGCCTAATCTCTGAATTTTAGTATTCCTTCTCTTTCCCACTCTCCACATCTCTCTCTCCCCATACCAAGATAATGCTTTACCACTGAGCTGCATACACATCCCTTAGTTTTCTCATTTTAAAAATGTAAATGATACCTAATATACAATGTAGTTATTAAAAATGAATGAAATTATCATTTTAGGGTACAAAGGAGATAATAAATGGTTGCTTCTTCTGTCAGTGACTTGTGTTCAGAAACACCTCTGTTGATTTTCAAATTAAATGTAAATATCTCAGCCCACTTTTGAATGCCCTCTAGTAGACCCCCAATCTACTTTGTCAGCCGTATCTTATGGCTCTTCTACACATTCTTCCACTCAGACCAGAAGTTATACTCTGAATACATCCTCCTTTTTGCCATAATAGCAAACCATGGTAACTACAATATCTTGAATGCCCATTGTGTTTTAAGAATGATTTTAATACTTACACATATTTTTGCTTAATACCTAGTTTTAATACAGTGATTTAGAATAGAGATCCACAGTCCAACTCTTTATTTTCTCACCATGGCTGTGTCATTGGACAAAACATAATCTGTCTAGCTTCAGTGTCCTCACCTGAAAATGGTGATAATAATAGTAACTGTTACAGCACTACAGCACTGTTGTGGAGATTAAAAATTATAATCTGTAAAGCACTTAACATAGTAACTAAAACAAAAGTAAGTTCTCATATATGTCAGCCATTTTTTTAGCTGATGGTCGTATTTTGTTCTCACTCAACTCATTTTACAAATGCCAAAAAAGAAAAATGGCTCTTTCGTATTAACACAGCAAGTGATTAAAAACAATGGATCTTGACCAGAGCTGTCTTGCTCCAAAATCCATAGCTTTCCTTTAACACTGTGCTACTTTATGCTAATTTCTGTACCTGAAAAAATGTCGTTTCTTTTTTCTTTTATCTATTTATTTTTTATACAAGGTCTCACTATGTACTTCAGCCTGTCCTTGAACTCACTGTGGAGCCCAGATTGGCCTTTAATTTATGATCCTCCTGCCTTAGCCTCCCAGTGATGGGATTATAGGCATGTGTCACCACACCCAGAGAAAAATGTCCTTTCTCAAGTGTAAATGGAATAATCTTTCCAAGCCTGACTCAAGGGCTGCCTGTTTCACCAAACTCTCCTTGACCTCCATGTAACTGTTTTCTCCCTCAAAATTGCCACAGCAATGTATTATTCACTTGTACATAGCATTGTACTGCAGTAACTTGTACACTAACCATGAGCTCTTTGATACCAAGACAGAAGATGGATCCACTTCCCCTGAAGTAGAGCCCAGTGTACTAAGTTGATACTTAATTAACAGTTACTTAAACTGAACAGAGGTTGCTAAGGTCCTAAATGGAGAATTCTGTCCAGTTTACCCAAGAAATCATTTTCTTACTAGCATGTCTGTATTCCAGGCCCTGATGGAGACACTGGGTTTACAGAGAGAAAGAAGGCAGAATCCCCACCCTCAAAGTTTTTGAAGAGTGGTGGAAGTGCTTAGAAACACATAGTAATTCTTTTTTAATGGAGTCATCATAGTCAAATGAAACAAACACTTCAGTAATGTAAATGAATTCTTATTTATTGTTTGTACAGATACAGTTGTCTCCTCCAGCTGCTGTACCAGTTTAGACTACATCGTCACCTACCTCTTCAAGCACATAGCAAAAGAGGGCAAGAAGCCACTTCGATGCAGAGAGGCTACCCAGGCTGGTCAGAGACTATTACATTTTATGCAGCAAAACCCAGATGTCCTGCAGCAGGTAACCTAGCTTTAGAAACAGAGTGCCCCAGAAGCCAACCTGGTCTCTGAACATCTATCTCTACAAATCTCTTGCTAAAACTCTTTCCCCTGAAATGAGATAAGACACTGTCCTCAGCATTTCCCACCCTCAAGAAGTCCCAGTGCAAGGGCTGGGATTTAGCTCAGTTGTTCCACTGCCTCCCTCTCAAGCGTAAGGTCCTGAGTTAAATCCCTGGTACCAATAATAAAAATTAAAAAAAAAAGAAATCCCAGTGCTATTTATCTCTCCTCAGTGAAGTTAGGATTTAAAAACAGGGGCCTGAGAAAAAATAGGGCAAAACTGGAACTAAGAACAGTCACCCTCTGATTTCTTTCCTGGAGCCTCTGATAATGCCATTTTAAGTTTGCTGTGTGAGTACTCAGATGTACTGGGACACTAACAGTTCCTAGACTTCTAGACTGCCAGGCTTCTTGCTCGGAACTGTCCATCATATTATAATTAGTATCGTCCTCAACTTAAGATGAAGAATCACAGTTTAAACAGTTTAGGTAATATTCCCAAGAGCATTTGGTTAACTAATAAGCAATAAAGCCACAAATTCTTTATTTTCAAGTGTGTTTTCTAATTGGCTAATGTGGGTTAGGTCCATATTTAATTTATTTAAACCAGCAATATGCATAAAAGTCAGTAGACATGCTAAAAATGAGTCTCAAAGAGAAAAATGCCATTTATGGATTTGCCATCACTTTAGTATTCCTACTTTCACTAAATTTGTAAAACTGTGTTTATACAGTTTCAATTTTTTTTTCTTTCCTGAGTGTGTGTGTGTGTGTGTGTGTGTGTGTGTTTTGCGGATTGAAGGCAGGGCCTCCACTCTGAGCTACATCTCCATCCCTTTTTTTAATTTTAAGATAGGATCTTAGTACATGGCTAAGTTACGGAGGCTGAGCCTGAACTTGTGATCCTCTTGTTGCCTCCGAGAGTGCTGCAGTTATAGGCATGCACTACCATACCTGGCTTTAGTTGTTTTCTCTTGCCAAATTATATCCATAATAATCTGTTATTTGCAAGTGTAAATCAGGTTTCTTGCTGCAATTAGTCTTGCTGAGAAAATAAGAAGAGCCATAGAAGAAGTTTCCTTCCTGGCTGCTGTATTTTGCTAATACTTAAATGATATTATGTAAATCTTATGTGTTATGACATTTCATTTAACCAGTTATTTTTCAGGGAGGGATGGAGGTGGTTATAATTCATATTTTGAGTAATTAGCAAAATTCTGTCAACCTATGACTATTTGATGTGACCCTGGAACTGTTTCAACAGGTTGATAGTGTAAAGGGAAAGTTTATTACATGCAGAGTGCAGGAACCATTAAGACTTATGACATACTTTCCTTAAAATGTTTCCTATCATGTGAGACAGAAACAAATAATTAACCACTTATCTGATAATTTCATTAACATGGTGACAACAGAGAATGACACAAGAGGGGAGGACTGTCTGAGGAGTCTCCTCATTTAGACCTCACAGTAACCTTGAAATGTGGGTATCATCATCCTCATTTTACAGATGACTAAACTGAGGTGCAGTGAGACCAACTGAAAGTGATAGAGTTGGAATTTAAAACAACATCTGTTTAGCTCCAAAGCCCGAAGCCCTTACTACTCACACCATTGGTTCTCCAAGTATCTCAGATTCACACATTCTACAAGATTTAGGAATACCTCTGCTCCCTGTCACCTCCGCCCCCGCCCAAATGCAGTGGCCATGGTAGAATAGGAAGTATGCATAATCCTTACGTGTTTTGCATGAGAGAAAGTTGACAGCCACTAATTTAGAGCCTATTGGCACTAAAGAAAATACCCTTGGATCGACCAGAAGTCAGACCCAGTCCCCACCCTACTATGACCAAGGACAGGTCCACCACCAAGTCACTCATACCAGCAGTCAACCATAATCTTGTTATTGTCCCATAACCATTGGCAGAAACTTTTAAGTTAGTAGAAAGTTTTAGCAAAAAAATCAATAGGCTATGAACAAGTAATGTGGTTGTGCAAGAGACCATCAAGTGTGTCTTTACTTGGAATTACTGTGCAATTGTTGGTTTAAGTAATTTCTCTGTGTTAATAATACTTAGTAATCTTTCACTTTATAGCATATGACTAAGTAGTGATATATCTTTATTAACCATAGAATACGTTCTATTTATTTGGAATGTAGGCTTTCAGATAGCATTTTAAATATTAATGACTGGTCTCTGGTAGTCAGCATAAACATGATTTGCATTAGCACTAGGTTATATCATCTTGAGTGCCTCTGATGTCAACTGTTGGGTATAGTGATATCTGACATCATCTCCTTAGGTCAATGACAACTTTGACCTCTATTCTTATGCACAGTTTCTGTCATCTCAAAAGCTCTTTTGAATTGATTTGAAATTTTGACTCTTCCCTTTATGAGGCAGTAAAATTGATAATTATTCAGATGGGAACTGAGCGCTGAGTGAAAAATCAATTCCACCCGCTCTCTGCTGCGTATAAAATTACTTCTGAGTCGGCTGGACTGAATGGATGGCCAGAGTAAAAGCAGCAGGCAGGAGTAGTGGGAAGAATTAGCTGGACAGAGCTAATAGCCTGAAGGGGTAGACTTGGAAAAGAGGGAGTGGGCCAGTTGGGGATTATTATGAGCAGGGATGGGTCCCATTGATCATCTGTTTACATCAGCTTCCCAAGACCTTATAAATCAACCCTGAAGAGCAGTAGAACCTAAGATTCAGCCTCTTACCAGAGGGACTTTGTATTAGATTATTCTCATTTTCACACTCAGATGAAAAGTGACCCATTGATTATTCATTGGTTGCCCATTAAATGGTGTTTTTATAGATGATTTGGCTATCACAGAAGCTAATGAACAAGGTTCCTGCTTCATAAGTTGAGGTTTCAGTTTTCATGGCATCTGTGTCAGTTAAGTAATGCCTAACCCTATTAAAAGGAATGGGTTACAAATTGCTTAACAGTGCTGAAAAACTAGACCCTAATGACTAATTGTGCTTGGAGTTTAGAGAGGGTTTGTCAGCTCTTTAAAATGATGCAATGATATTGCAATTATTTACTAGTTTGAACTGTTTTCCCCCTAACCTGGACCTATTTTGCTGGAAGCATTACTGCATAGAGTCAGTTCAAAACTGCAAAAGTTATCTCCTCAAGCTTCATAGTAAGTGAAGCATGAACAGGGTTTCCAGTATACTTACAGACCTTTCCATTTATATGCAGTAGCCTGAGAAAAATATTTCAAGTACCTGTCACCTGGAAATGAGTTTATTATGGCCTTCTATGTGGCTTTATATCTTCAGTGTCTTAAAATTATTCTTCAAATAAACCATCTCCATATTTTACAAACAAATCTGACTTTGCAAACATTAAAATGTAGTCCATTTGAAGATCATTGTAATTAAGTAGACCTGCCTCACCAGTGATGCTTTGCCTTAACAGTTGAGAAAAATCCAGTTTACATAAATATGGGGGGAGGGATTTCCTAAGTATTTTTATGTCATTAGGAGATGATGTTAAAAATTCAAGAATACACCAGCAGTAACAATGATCAAATTACTAATAATCACTGATTAGTAATGGATTAGACAATGATCTGCCACAGTAAAGTGGAAGATAACATTTGTATGTAAAATGTTTTCAGTTTCATCAGTGATCATGTTAAGTATTTGCATCTATAACCAATAGATCAGCATTCTTTAGTTATAATCACAGAGTGAAAGATTTACCCAAATTAGATAAATTAAGGTGCATGTTTCATAGAATTAGAGGGGGCATTTCAGAGAATTGACTAAATTTTTTTTTGAAATGGTAAAAACACTGATGCTGAATACTTCTCTACATCAGAATTCAAATTAAAACTATTTTTTTATGTGATTGTCAGTATTACTGATTGAATTATGCAGTTAACTTATTATCAAAATATTTTTAGCAATTACAGTCTCTAATATGTAAATACTCTGCATGGAAGACTTGAAATAGTTAGATTTGAATTTGTCTTTACCCTCATCTACCCATTGTGGCTTAAGTCAGCTGTACAGAAAAAAATCCAACGAAGTTCTAACTATGATTTTCTTTCTCTCCTTATTTCTTTTTTTTTTTTCTAACATGGCATTTAACTACAAATTGTGAAGAGCTGTCAGGAGCTATAAGAATCATACTTCAGTAGGGACGTAAGCTGAAAGAACATTCACCCTTTTTCTCAATCAGTCAGTCAATCAATGAAAATTGCTTTTGTATAGTGCTCCCCATGACATGCATCCCAAAGTGAATTACAGCAAAAGGGAAATCATCTGCTCTTTTTTTTCATTTCTGTGTTTAGACTGAAACGATATTGCTCAACATTTTGACATACTATATAAGACATCTTTCATGCTTAAGATTCTATTCCGTAATACTAAGTAGGAGAAAGTACAGTCACATATATAACTGATGTTGAGATATTGGTCTGTATAAACTTAGCGAGATTCTCACAGTAGAAAACATGAAATATGGGCACATCTCTTATCCTCTTTAAAAACTACTTAGCCAGATTTTTTAATGTTAATAAAAACTATTTCTAGTGAACCTTAAATAGAAAGTGTGCCTTCCATATAACCAATTAGTTCTGATTAATGTACAAACTTACATTCACAACTTGATCAGAGGATTTCTAAAGGAAATCAGGAATATATCATTAGATACTGAAAGTGGAGTATAGGAACTCATATTTCATGACAGAATTGTTTTTCACATAAGCTGTTCTAACCTTGGTCTTCACAGCAAGCAGTTCATGCATGTTTGGTGTATTTATTTCTGGGAGAAATAATATTGGCAAATTTTATTTACTAGGTGCAGGCACTACCTTCATCCCTTTACATATGCAACCTCTGACTTAATCATCACAGAGTCCCTGTGAACATGTAGTATAATATCACCATTTTACAGATAAAGAAACTGAGGCAGAAAAAGATTAAATAACACCACTGC